TTTTTGGCATTGTACTGTCCATTTATTAACCTTTTTGGCATTTACTGTCCATTTATTAACCTTTTTGGCATTGTACTGTCCATTTATTAACCTTTTTGGCATTGTACTGTCCATTTATTAACCTTTTTGGCATTGTACTGTCAATTTATTAACCTTTTTGGCATTTGTACTGTCCATTTATTAACCTTTTTGGCATTCTAATGTCCATTTATTAACCTTTTTGGCATTTTAATGTCCATTTATTAACCTTTTTGGCATTGTACTGTCAATTTATTAACCTTTTTGGCATTGTACTGTCAATTTATTAACCTTTTTGGCATTGTACTGTCCATTTATTAACCTTAAATTTTGGAGTATTTTGTTTTTTTTTCTTTCGCAACGCTAACCACTAGGTGGCGTCTGGCCCACCTAATGGAGACATCTTCCCGAGAAGAATACATGTTTTTATTTAGAATCTACATCTACTGCGAACATGTTTATCGGTTCGTCGTATAAAGTTTTCATGTGTATTCTGAATGCTGTCGCACGTGCAAGAAACTATTTATCTCACAATTTTAAATAACTACGCACGATCATCGCCTAAATTACGTCGTTAAATGTCTGCAAACATTTCTTGAGCTATTTGGAAGGTTGGATCCAACGTTTGAGTCAAAAGTCATTAGGGTGGGTGTACCACTACAACCATCAAACAAGCAACGAAAGAGAATAAGATTCTGAGCTGTGACTTCTAAAAGTTAGTCAATTTAGGAATAAATAATGGTTCTCAGCTGAAAAGAACAATTTACATACAGTTTAAGTAAAAATAGTACAAAGAAAAACGTGCTTTGAATTTTTATTAAAGCTTCAAAACTAATAACAAAGAGTGAAATGTTTTCTCTTGGCTGTTTCTAGTAAAACAGTTATTTATAAAGAAACCACTGTGATCTTTTTGATTTTTTCACGTTATTCTTCTATAGAGCAACACACGATAAGAAACAATGATTATAAAACTAAAAACAGTATGAAACTATCTTTTTTTTTCGAGTTTTATTTATTTAACTTTTAGTTGAAGTTTCCGATGGTATAAATGATTCTGAATCCAAAGTAAATAAAATGGGATCATTTAATCAATACAGAAAAAAAAATGCCAGCTTCCTATCAATGGTAATTAATAAGTGTACTGGATTCAAATATAAATAATGATATATCTGTTAATTATTCTGTATGACATGGATTACAAGTTTGGCTGAAAGACGGAGTCACGCGTTGATATATATATATATTCCACATCTTGGAATTAACTAGGGGAAGTTATTGTAAATTCCAGCGAAATTCCAGCTCTGTCCATCGCGGGGACTCGAACCCTGGATTTAAGTATTGTAAGTCCGTAATCGGGGGACTCCAGTACTTACAGTCTATGTTTTTAGATGCTGTTTCCGTTAGGCTTAGCAAAAAAAGGTGTTCTTCAGGCTCCGTCTAAGTATGTGCTAAGGTTAAATGACATCATCATTTATAATATTTTTTATGTATTTCGTCTAGATTGTTAAGAAAAAATATTGTACACTTAATAATTGAATTATAGTTTTAGTATTCAGACGGCATGTTATTAGGTCAGTGTTTTAAGCTATAAACTATGAGTGAGAATATAATTACTATGGGTTAGTCATTTTGTTGGATTAAATTATCTGTTATTGATATCCATGAAGAAATAAGAGCCCAGAAATTTTTGTCGAGTACTCGACATTTTACAAAATATGTGCGAAATATTTGTAAAATCAATAATACTCACACAAATAAATCAATAAACAGTCGTATTTGTGTTTTTCACAAAATCTGTCTGAAATCATGGCTCATATTGAGATAACTTTACTGAAAATTATGTATTGTTTGTTTGAAGTTAAGCACAAAGCTACACAATGGGCTAGCTCCGCCCACCACGAGTATCGAAACCCGGATTCTAGCGTTGTAAGTCCGCAGACATACTACTGTGCCACTGGGGGGGGGGGGCGAATATTATGTATAATTATTTGTTTGTTGTTGTTGTTATTATTGTTTTAGCGCTAGATTACATAATAGTCTATCTGTGCTATATCAACCGCAAAGACTCTAATCTCGGATTTTAACGTTGTAAGTACATAAACTTACCGCTGACTCACTGGTGGGAGAGGGGGTATTTTTACTGTTATCCTTTTTTTTAGAAAACTTCACAGTGAAAGTGAAAATTACGTCAAATATATCAAAATCTTATTTATCAATTCCTATTATTCACAATCTAATTGGTCTATTTTTTATTACATTAATTCCCCTTATTCAAACACTAACAAGTCTTAGCTACATACTTAAACATTACATGTGATCTTAAAACACAAAAACACTACGGTTGTATTCACATACTACGTCAAGTACACTTTATTTTTACGTTAATTATGCTAAACACAACTGCTCAAGATGTAAAATGGGTATGATAACATATTTATGTCTTAGCATTAGTGCAGAGGACACAACATAGCATAACCTTTGATTATTTATTAACATGTTTTTCAATGGACCTAAACATATCAGCTGTTAGAGAAAACATGTAATATGCCTTACGACAAGCTAGGCTTAATTTTCGAAAAATAAAAGAAGTACATAAACAGACACATCCATAGTCCCTAGTTTGAAGAATTGAAATGTTGGTTAAATGTGCAAATCAAACATGAGCGGAGGCGCAAAGGGAGTAAAACTGTAATGGTGTTTTTTATACGTGTTAAAATAAATGGACGATCCAACCTGCAAAACTGAGTTTGTTCATGTCATGTTTCTTTTGTACAAATAATATAAGCGTCGCCATTTCTGGAAAAACTAGAGGGAGGATCTTACGGGGTTTTCTCGCAAAAAAAAGAAAAAAGAAATATATTTGTTGTCGGAATAGTTTATAAAGGTGGTCGTTTTGTTACCTGTTACGTATTAGGATTTCAAATAGCCTGAAGCTGAGTTAAATGATACTTTAAATTTAGTAGATAAATTGTACTTTGGGTTTAGCAGTTAAGTAAAAGCCGATATTTTGTCAGTTTACGATATTTGCCAACAAGATTGATACACACAGTTTTCTTTTTTTAAAACACAAATACGTTTTAATATACAAAGAACAATACAATTTAAGATAACA